CACTATCCTGTGTTTAAGGTAGGTATACAGGAGGTGGGAAAACAAAGCTGAGAATCAACTGAATTAAGTTTTCAAGGGTTGATGTACACTTGGCTGAAACCAATTTTAACTGCAAAAAACAGCGATGCCCGAGAAATGAGGGTTGAAGTCATGACCTTCAGAATACAAATCTGACGAGCGAACTACTGCGTAAATGAGGCCGAAGTGACGGTAAAATTAGCGAATGAAAGATGAAAATGCTCAATTCAAAACCAAGGCTCACATTTTTTTAATGGCAGGTTTACCGCGACAGTGAAGATTGTTTCATTAAAAAACAACAACTTGAAAACATCAGTTTAAAAGCACATTGGCAAAGACTGCCATGCCCCGTATGAGGGTTGAACTCATGGCCTTCAGATTATGAGACTGACGCGCGACCTACTGCGCTAACGAGGCCACATGTTCATAAAAGTAACGAATGTAAAGCGATATGAAGGAGGAGGGAAAGTCAAGCGCAGGATTGACCCAATGGGCCAGATGTATGTTCATGTCCAAGTGGCGAATAACGATTTTAACTGAACAGGTTTGGGAAAAGACTTCCATGCGCCATATGAGGGTTGAACTCATGGCCTTCAGATTATGAGACTGACGCGCGACCTACTGCGCTAACGAGGCCACATGTTCATAAAAGTAACGAATGTAAGGCAATATGGATGAAGGAGAAGGGAACGCCAAGTGGAGAATTGACTCAATGGGCCAGACGCGTGTTCTTGTACAAGTGGCGAAAACCAAGCCAAGTGGAGAATTGTTGGGAAAAGACTTCCATGCGCCATATGAGGGTTGAACTCATGACCTTCCGTTTATGAGACTGACGCGCTACCTACTACGCTAACGAGGCCGCATGCCTAAAGCAAGTAATGAATGTAAGGCAATATGGATGAAGGAGAAGGGAACGCCAAGTGGAGAATTGACTCAATGGGTCAGACGAATGTTCATGTCCAAGTGGCGAAAAACATTTTTCATTGAAGAGGTTTGGGAAAAGACCCCCATGCCCTGTATGAGGGTTGAACTCATGACCTTCAGATTATGAGACTGACGCGCTACCTACGGCGCTAACGAGGCCGCATGGCTAGCACAAGTAACGAATGTCAAGCAATATGGATGAAGGAGAAGGGAACGAGAATTGACTCAATGCGACAGACGCGTGTTCGTGTACAAGTGGTGAAAACCAATTTCAACTGAAGAGGTTTGGGAAAAGACTAACATGCCCTGTATGAGGATTGAACTCATGACCTTCAGATTACGAGACTGACGCTCTATCTACTGCGCTAACAAGGCCTCATGCTTGCAAAAGTAATGAATGTGAAGCGATATGGATGAAGGAGAAGGGAACGCCAGGTGGAGAACTGACTCAATGGGTCAGACGAATGTTCACGTCCAAGTGGCGAAAAACATTTTTCATTGAAGAGGTTTGGGAAAAGACTGCCATGCCCCGTATGAGGGTTGAACTCATGACCTTCAGATTATGAGACTGACGCGCTACCTACTGCGCTAACGAGGCCACATGCTCATAAAAGTAACGAATGTAAAGCGATATGAAGGAGGAGGGAAAGTCAAGCGCAGGATTGACCCAATGGGCCAGATGTATGTTCATGTCCAAGTGGCGAATAACGATTTTAACTGAACAGGTTTGGGAAAAGAGTGCCATGCCCCGTATGAGGATTGAACTCATGATTTTCAGATTATGAGATTGACGCGCTACCTACTGCGCTAACGAGGCCGCATGTTCATAAAAGTAACAAATGTAAAGCGATATGAATGAGGAGGGAAAGTCAAGCGGAGAATTGACTCAATGGGCCAGATGCATGTTCATGTCCAAGTGGCAAATAACAATTTTAACTGAACAGGTTTGGGAAAAGACTACCATGCCCTGTATGAGGATTGAACTCATGACCTTCAGATTACTAGACTGACGCGCTATCTACTGCGCTAACAAGGCCTCATGCTTGCAAAAGTAATGAATGTGAAGCGATATGGATGAAGGAGGAGGGAAAGTGGAAAATTGACTCGATGGGCCAGACGCGTGTTCATGTCCAAGTGGCGAAAAACATTTTTTATTGAAGAGGTTAGGGAAAAGACTGCCATGGCCCATATGAGGGTTGAACTCATGACCTTCAGATTATGAGACTGACGCACTACCTACTGCGCTAATAAGGCCGCATGCCTAACACAAGTCACGAATGTAAGGCAACATGGATGAAGGAGAAGGGAACGCCAAGTGGAGAATTGACTCAATGGGCCAGACGCATGTTCATGTCCAAGTGGCGAAAACCAATTTTAACTGAAGAGGTTTGGGAAAAGACCGCCATGCCCCGTATGAGGGTTGAACTCATGACCTTCAGATTATGAGTTTGACGCGCTACCTAACGGCGCTAACGGGGCCGCATGCCTAACGCAAGTAACGAATGTAAGGCAATATGGATGAAGCAGAAAGGAACAAGGAGAACTGACTCAATGCGCCAGACGCGTGTTCGTGTACAAGCGGTGAAAACCAATTTCAACTGAAGAGGTTTGGGAAAAGACTGCCCTGCCCCGCATGAGGGTTGAACTCATGGCCTTCAGATTATGAGACTGACGCACTACCTACTGCGCTAATAAAGCCGCATGCCTAACACAAGTCACGAATGTAAGGCAACATGGATGAAGGAGAAGGGAACGCCAAGTGGAGAATTGACTCAATGGGCCAGACGCATGTTCATGTCCAAGTGGCGAAAACCAATTTTAACTGAAGAGGTTTGGGAAAAGACCGCCATGCCCCGTATGAGGGTTGAATTCATGACCTTCAGATTATGAGACTGACGCGCTACCTACTGCGCTAACGAGGCCGCATGGCTAGCACAAGTAATGAATGTCAAGCAATTTGGATGAAGGAGAAGGGAACGAGAATTGACTCAATGCGACAGACGCGTGTTCGTGTTCAAGTGGTGAAAACCAATTTCAACTGAAGAGGTTTGGGAAAAGAGTGCCATGCCCCGTATGAGGATTGAACTCATGACCTTCAGATTATGAGACTGACGCGCAACCTACAGCGCTAACGAGGCCGCATGGCCAGCACAAGTAACGAATGTAAGGCAATATGTATGAAGGAAAAGGGAAATTGCTGTTGAGAATTGACTCAATGGGCCAGACGCGTGTTCTTGTACAAGTGGCGAAAACCAATTTTACCTGAAGAGGTTTGGGAAAAGACTTCCATGCCCCGTATGAGGGTTGAACTCATGACTTTCAGATGATGAGACTGACGCGCTACCTACTGCGCTAACGAGACCGCATGTTCATAAAAGTAACAAATGTAAAGCGATATGAATGAGGAGGGAAAGTCAAGCGGAGAATTGACTCAATGGGCCAGATGCATGTTCATGTCCAAGTGGCGAAAAACATTTTTGATTGAAGAGGTTAGGGAAAAGACTGCCATGCCCCATATGAGGGTTGAACTCATGACATTCAGATTATGAGACTGACGCGCTACCTACTGCGCTAACGAGGCCGCATGGCTAGCACAAGTAAGGAACGTCAAGCAATATGGATGAAGGAGAAGGGAACGAGAATTGACTCAATGCGACAGACGTGTGTTCGTGTACAAGTGGCGAATAACGATTTTAACTGAACAAGTTTGGGAAAAGAGTGCCATGCCCCGTATGAGGATTGAACTCATGACCTTTAGATTATGAGATTGACGCGCTACCTACTGCGCTAACAAGGCCGCATGGCTAGCACAAGTAACGAATGTAAGGCAATATGGATGAAGGAAAAGTGAAATTGCTGTTGAGAATTGACTCAATGGGCCAGACGCGTGTTCTTGTACAAGTGGCGAAAACCAATTTTAACTGAAGAGGTTTGGGAAAAGACCGCCATGCCCCATATGAGGGTTGAACTCATGACCTTCAGTTTATGAGACTGACACGCTACCTACTAGGCTAACGAGGCCGCATGCCGAACGCAAGTAACGAATGTAAGGCAATATGGATGAAGGAGAAGGAACCGCCAAGTGGAGAATTGACTCAAAGTGCCAGACGCGTGTTCTTGTACAAGTGGCGAAAAACATTTTTCATTGAAGAGGTTTGGGAAAAGAACCCCATGCCCCGTATGAGGGTTGAACTCATGACCTTCAGATTATGAGACTGACGCGCTACCTACTGCGCTAACGAGGCCGCATGCCTAACACAAGTAACGAATGTAAGGCAATATGGATGAAGGAGAAGGGAATGCCGTGCAGAATTGACTCAATGGGGTAGACGCATGTTCATGTCCAAGTGGCGAAAAACATTTTTCATTGAAGAGGTTTGGGAAAAGACCGCCATGCCCCGTATGAGGGTTGAACTCATGACCTTCAGATTATGAGACTGACGCGCTACCGACTGCGCTAACAAGGCCGCATGCCTAACACAAGTAACGAATATCAAGCAATATGGATGAAGGAGAAGGGAACAAGTGGAGAACTGACTGAATGCGCCAGACGCGTGTTCGTGTACAAGTGGTGAAAACCAATTTCAACTGAAGAGGTTTGGGAAAAGACTGCCATGCCCCGCATGAGGGTTGAACTCATGACCTTCAGATGATGAGACTGACGCGCTACCGACTGCGCTAACAAGGCCGCATGCCTAACACAAGTAACGAATGTAAGGCAACATGGATGAAGGAGAAGGGAACTCCATGAGGAGAATTGACTCAATGGGTCAGACGCATGTTCATGTCCAAGTGGCGAAAACCAATTTTAACTGAAGAGGTTTGGGAAATGACCGCCATGCCCCATATGAGGGTTGAACTCATGACCTTCAGTTTATGAGAGTGACGCGCTACCTACTACGGTAACGAGGCCGCATGCCTAACGCAAGTAACGAATGTAAGGCAATATGGATGAAGGAGAAGGGAACGCCGTGGAGAATTGACTCAATGGGCCAGACGCGTGTTCTTGTACAAGTGGCAAAAAACAATTTTAACTGAAGAGGTTTGGGAAAAGACTGTCATGCCCCGTATGAGGGTTGAACTCATGACCTTCAGATTATGAGTTTGACGCGCTACCTACTGCGCTAACGAGGCCGCATGTTCATAAAAGTAACAAATGTAAAGCGATATGAATGAGGAGGGAAAGTCAAGCGCAGAATTGACTCAATGGGGCAGATGTCTGTTCATGTCCAAGTGGCAAATAGCAATTTTAACAGAACAGGTTTGGGAAAAGACTACCATGCCCTGTATGAGGATTGAACTCATGACCTTCAGATTATGAGACTGACGCGCTACCGACTGCGCTAACAAGGCCTCATGCTTGCAGAAGTAATGAATGTGAAGTGATATGGATGAAGGAGAAGGGAAAGTAAAGAATTGACTCGATGGGCCAGACGCGTGTTCATGTCCAAGTGGCGAAAAACATTTTATTGAAGAGGTTAGGGAAAAGACTGCCATGCCCCATATGAGGGTTGAACTCATGACCTTCAGATTATGAGACTGACGCGCTACTTACTGCGCTAACGAGGCCTCATGCCTAGCATAAGTAACGAATGTAAGGCAATATGGATGAAGGAGAAGGGAACGCCAAGTGGAGAATTGACTCAACGGGGTCGACGCATGTTCATGTCCAAGTGGCGAAAACATTTTTCATTGAAGAGGTTTGGGAAAAGACCGCCATGCCCGGTATGAGGGTTGAACTCACAACCTTCAGATTATGAGACTGACGCGCTACCTACTGCGCTAACGAGGTCACATGCCTAACACGAGTAACGAATGTAAGGCAATATGGATGAAGGAGAAGGGAACGCCACGTGGAGAATTGACTCAATGGGTCAGACGCATGTTCATGCCCAAGTGGCGAAAAACATTTTTCATTGAAGAGGTTTGCGAAAAGACCGCCATGCCCTGTATGAGGGTCGAACTCATGACCTTCAGAGTATGAGACTGACACGCTACCTAATAAGCTAACGAGGCCACATGATTTGCGAAAGTAATGAACCTAAGGCGATATGGATGAAGGAGAAGGGACCGCGCACAGAATTGACTCAATGGGCTAGACGCATGTTCATGTCAAAGTGGCGAATACCAATTTTAACTGAACAGGTTTGGGAAAAGCCTGCGATGCCCCGTATGACAATTGAACTCATGACCTTCAGATTATGAGACTGACGCGCTACCTACTGTGGTAACGAGGACTCATGTTCGCAAAAGTAAAGAATGTGAGGTGATATGGATGAAGGAGAAGGGAAAGTGAAGTGGAGATTTGACTCAATGTGCCAAACGCGTGTTCATATCCAAGTGGCGAAAAACAATTTTAACGGAGGAGGTTTGGGAAAAGACTGCCATGCCCCGTATGAGGGTTGAATTCATGACCATCATTTTATGAGGCGCTACGTACCGCGCTAATGAGGCCGCATGGCTAGCAAAAGTAACGAATGTAAAGCAATATGGATGAAGGAGAAGGTGGGGTGGAGAAATGACTCAATGCGCCAGACGCGTGTTCGTGTACAAGTGGCGAAAACGATTTTTAACCAAAGAGGTTTGGGAAAAGACTGCCATGCCCCATGTGAGGTTTGAACTCATGACCTTCAGATTATGAGACTGACACGCTACCAACTGCGCTAAAGAGGCCACATAGCTAGTAAAGTTAACAAATGAAAGGCGAGATGGATAAAGAAGAGGGGAAAGAGCAGAATTGACTCAATGGGCCAGACGCGTGTTCTTGTCCAAGTGGCGAAAACCAATTTTAACTGAAGAGGTTTGGGAAAAGACTGCTATACCCCGTATGAGGAATCAACTCATGACCTTCAGATTATGAGACTGACGCTCTATCGACTGCACTAACAAGGCCGCATGGCAATGAAAGGTGACGACTAAAAGGCGGGAAGGCTCAATTCCACGCCAGTTGAGACCACAAAGTTTTTAAATCACTTTTCCCACTAAAACCAAGTCTGATTAAAGACACACCAAACAGCTGCCTGAACACACATCGACGGATCGTCAAAAAATTGACTCTGTCGGGCTGCATATATGAGCGAAGAAGACATTTGCTGAGAACAATGGAAAATTTACCATCACCCAGTTTTTCAAACTCTCACTCTCTTGCATTTAAGCAGGTTGACTTTTGTGCTGTCACAGTATTTTTTCAGACTCTGGTACAGGGCTTTCTTCATCTGGTCCTTGAGAGCCCCTGTCCATGCTGTTTTAGATGTCTCCCCCAACACACAACTAAAACAAGCTGGACAGGGGATCTCAAGGACCAGACTTGGGCACATGTGCTCTGGGACCTTGATTTTCAAATGAAAGCATACTTTCTTCTGAAAAGAGGATTTGCCACCACTTGCCAACATACATCGTACTTTTTCTTATTAGCACAGATGCTTCTGATGTTGCTTTTGGTTAAGGAGCAGCATGGCATGTTGAATTCTTTCGCTGTCGCCCATGTCGTGTCGACATCTGTGTGTGGTGGTTCTTGATGGATTGACACCAGCCTCAGTCCACTCCTTATGAAGCACCCAAAGATTTCTGACTCACCATTATAACAATCATTCATGTCACTTGTATACCTTTTCCGGCCACATTTCCCCCTTATTCTTAACTCATTTGACACCAAAATGTAAAATTACGTTATTGGTGTTTTGTTACTAAATATAAATAAATAGGCTTCGCGCTGCTCCTCAGTAAGTATCAAGGCTTTGGGAATTATTTCAGTATAATAAGGCACCACTAAATGGCAGCAGTGACTTTGGTCAGATCTTGGGCCGCACGTTGTGTAAGTGTGTGTGTGTATACAGTACAGCGATCCAACATGGATGGCGATGTGGTGTTCGAAAGCAGTGTTGTGGTGAAAACATGAATAAAGTTCAACGTTCATGAAAAGTTCATGCAGAGTTCATGCATCAGTGCAGTGTTTTGTTGTTTTTTTTTTTTAGTTCATGCATCAGTGCAGTGTTTTGTTTTTCGCAATAAACTGGTATTTTGCAACGAACATTTTTTGTGTTGTTTATGTTACTTAGTTGGAAACATAATTTTTTTGTGTTGTTTATGTTACTTAGTTGGAAACATTTTAAATTTGTTTAGATATTTGAGGTATCACAATTGCAAAAAAATGGCACCTTCTGCTTGAAATTCATCCTTTCACAAAAAGCTCTTTTTCTCTGAATTTTTGGGGGAAATTAGTATTTTCAAGAAACCTACCAATGTCCACTGCTGTCTGCTAAACAATGGTAAAAGGTAGAATTTTATTTTTTTTCCTGATGAAAGAAGAGGGTTAAGGCTTGCTTGTATAGCTACAAAACTCAATTTTCTGTAAGCCTTCAAAAATTTGTCAAAATGGTCACAAACATCCATTTTCTAATCCGCTTATCCTCACAAGGGTTGCGGGCGTGCTGGAGCCAATCCCAGCTGTCTTCAGGCAGTAGGCTGGGTACACCCTGAACTGGTTATCAGCCAATCGCAGGGCACACAGACGAACAACCAGTCGTGCTCACAAACACGCCAAGGGACAATTTAGAGTGTTCCGTTAACCTGCTGTGTATGTTTTAGGAATGTGGGAGGAAACCGCAGTACCCGGAGAAAACCCACACAAACACAGGGAGAACATTCAAACGTCACACAGGAAGGCCAAAGCTGGAATAGACCCCATGACCTCTGCACTCTGAAGTCGAACAACATGCCGCCCCTCTTTCGCTATTTAGAGTTAGATGGCTGACAAGATTTGGACATAGGGATCTTTGTCATGATCGTGTAACTTTGTGAACACCATTTTGTGAAACACCATATTTTTAATTGTTGTGTTTTTCTGCCATGATGATCAAAAATAAAACTAATAAAGTCTTGAAATAGTTCACTTTTTTCTGTTGTGAACTAGTATTGATCCATTTTTTGAAGCAAAGTATGGAAATAAATAGACATTCCCTCGATATTCAAATTTTCTTGGCGCCTGCATCAATTGCTGTGATCTCGAGGTCAAATTGAGGTGTTTGATCCCTATTTTATAGAACAAATGTCAGTCTTACCTCCAGTATAATAACCCCAGGCATAGGAAAACCGACTGGTCACCCAAATGGCTCCTAGTACTGACGCTGATAACTGAGGATCGAGAAACAGCAAAAAGATTCTTATCATACAGGTAATGAAAAATGTGCTTCGTCATTGTGACAGCGCTTTTGGCTCCTGACGGTGGTGCCGTTATTATATTCATGTCAAACTTTTGCCCATCCTACAAGGCTGACGTTTTAAGAAACCATTCTGATGAATATCTTATTGAAATAAGATATTCAAATTAAAATAAAGCCTACCGGATAGACGAGGGCTGCGATGGTCTGGAAAACAAGCCACTGAGGATACACCTCAAGAGTGTTCTGATGGGCTCTCTGGATGCAGTTGAAAACGTGCTCCTTGTCACTGTACATTGTTGGATACTGTACAATATACGTGACAATTATTTTATTAGAAAATAAACACACAGCGATTGTTCAAAAACAAGTAACAAGTGCAAAGTCTATCGTTATTCGCTCTGTATAATCAACACAGTCCATTGAAATGAAAACACCACTACCTTAACGCCATACTTCTTCCTGGCAGCTCCAACTTTGACAGCTAGATAAGCCAGCATTATCCAACTGTAAAGGTAAATGAATATGACATATCCAAAATCGGAGGGCAAAACAGTCAGAATATCCATTTCTGAGCAATTGCTAGCTTCGTTGCCAGGTCGTACAGAAAAGATCCGAGACTGGGAGTAAATGTCAAATGAACAATTATCGCGCTCACGCAGCTATTTAAATCGGTTATACAAATAATCGCGAGATCAGACATAACCTTTGGATTGCCTGTAAACATAGCGCCAGTGTACTTTGTGCATAAAATATCGCGAGGGATCTACATAGTTTGTCTTATCGCGAGATTTCCATCGACAATATAACGGCACCATCCTTATTTTGTGGTTTGTCGAGGCCGCTCAGACACGTCTTGTGATGTTTACATTCCTCACATTATTAGGTGAATTCAAGGATTGCACCATATCGTGATTTTTGCTCGCGTGTAATGACTTGAACTGTTCAGAACTTCCTGTTCACACAACACTATTTTTCACTGTAAAAGGGCAATGATTGCAGATGAAATATTTATAAACGTCCTCATGCTTATGTTAAGCGGATACAAAACTGTTCTGGAGTGACGCCCTGTTTATTTTGAATGACGACGCTTTGAATGCTTTCGGCCATACCGCCAGGAGAGGGCGTCACAGAGGAGAATCACGTGACTGGAATTTTCCAGAAGCGCTGTAAAAACTCGTTGGACCACTTACTCGACTTCATTTTAACTGTAAGACGACAACGAGAATGATCATAACCTTTTAATACGCAAACGACATTTCATAATCTCCAAATTCCTCAATTACTTTGTAAAAGACAAACATATTGTGCGTTTGTTACCGTCGTTACCCTGATACTGTTTCAACTCAAGCGACAGTTTAACTGGTAAGTTCCTCAAAGGATCGTTTTCCTAATCATTTGAATTTGCAAGTGTGCTAATATCACCGAGTTTAGGAATTTTGTTTCGAAACGGTTCGCTTTGTATGATAGTCTTGGGGTAGTCACGCTCTGTTCAGGACTATTAAACCATGCCGCGTCAGAGCTACAGCTATTGCTAACTTGCGTGAGCTAGAATTTTCCAGTACGCTTTCGTTACGTAACGACGCCATTGCTCTTGTGGACTGGACAAGAAAACAAGTTAATAAAGCATAAGTGGTTGAAAAAAATGAATATGGTAGTGTTTGTGTTAGACTTGTACAATGTTTACTCGTTTACTAATAGCTCCCGTTTGACCCATTTTGGAGAGCAGTGAAACCCCCGTTTGACGAGGGGAATAGGTTCTTTGCTTTGCACCCAGTGAAAACCCGTCGATTGCTGTGATAGCAATTAAATTTTACGAAACATTTTTTGTGGTCTTAGTACAGTACTCCTACACACTTTGAAGACATCTCAACATTTCACCCTTTTCAAAAGTACGCGTTCGCTCTAATTTCTAGTTTTGAGTTCCCAGTTCACGTTACGTAAAATATACATTTCAACCAACCTCTATTAGATTTGTTTGTTGGTAGATGGGCAGCACGCATAATCAGTATATAACAAAACTCGCAAGCAAATCTTTGTCTTTGCTGAGTGGGAACAAGAAATCGTATTATAAAGGCATCCTGTTCTTGCTGCTAATTACGCTGTACCCTCCAGTCAATGTTGCGTCACAACATGGTACTACATCAAGGATGTGACTTAAAATTGCAACCTAGCAGGGCCACGAACAATGAAGTGCAAAATGGCTTTGGGAAACTGCAGTGTTGTTCTTAATCAGTTTTTTTTTTTGTTCCAGCATGTGCAAGACCATGACCAAGGGAGAAGACTCTCACCTTGCAATGACTCATGTTCACCAGAGTGATAGCCTGAGCAGGATTTTTGATCAGAGCAGCCCCTCATCCTACTACTCCAGGAATAGTTATGAGAGCAGCCCTACCTCCTCTTTTGGGAGTGAGAGGGGGCGCGACAGATCGTCATCATCCAGCCGTGGTTCCTCCTCCCGTTCCAGGTCCCGCTCTCATCCTCGCTGCCACAGACATTCCCGCTGTCGCAGCCATCGGAGACACAGCCGGGGCCACCGCCACCTTGCACGCCGCCACAGGGCACACTCTCGGTCCTACAGCCGCTCACCCTCACTGCACAGGTATCACAGGCACCATAGACGCTCCAGTTCCAGGTCCCGCTCTAGGTCTCCACTTGGTGGGAGGAGATGCAGTAGGGCTCAGGCTCGTTTGAACAGGTTTCCCAGATCACCATCAAGAGCCAATAGAAGCCCCTCAAGATCTTCAGGAAGTTCAGTCAGCTTGAGCTTGGAAGGTAATTTTGAACAAGCAAAATTTAAGGAACATTTCCATTCCGCTAACAATATTACACACACTGATTGTAGCTTCACTTGCATTCCTTCAGATAAAAGAGAACTTCTCAAAGCTGCAAAGAGCAATGCCATGAAGCTGCTAGGAGTGGAGAAATTGGAGCTTCCCGAGAGTGTGAAACCGATCCTGTCAGAGCAGCTGAAGGAGCCCCAAGGTGTTCCACCCCAGTCTGAGAAAAGGGTGAGACCATACCCTGAGAAGACACCATCAAAGGTGAGTGCCTGCCCTGCTGACTGTGTCACTCACCCCTGATTAGGATTGGTCATCACTGTGAAGGGAGTAAGTGATAATAAGGCCATGTTCACACTGCAGTTTTCACACATGTATCTTCATTTACCGGTATTTTACTCGGCGGTATGAACACTTGCGTGGCGCTTATCCTCCCTACACATCATCAAAAGGCAAATATGCGTTCCACAGTGGCTGGGCAAAGTGCCCGGGAGACTACTCAGACTCGTCTATGCAGTTGAAAATTTGGTTGGAGTAACAGTGTTAAAATATATTTGACTTTAGTCCCACTTTGCAGATGAAGCTTAAAGTGGTCATTTGTAGTGACATTAGTAATTGAGCAACGCCGACAATGCATTTGTTTTGCACAGCAATAACTTGACAGTATTTTAAATAGACGACTCCAAGAAATAAGGAGATAGAGTAGTGTCATTTCCCCAAAATATTTCTACCTACTCCAACCCAACTTCTCTGGCAATCCGAAATGAGCCCCCTATACGCAGGACCATATTTACATACTGTATAGAAACAGCGCCAAGTGACTTGGTGTTTTGTGTGTCACTTCACCGATCTATTCCGTTCATATTTGTTGAACAAGTGTTTTTCCCCACCCCCACAAAATATCAGAATTGGGCATCATGCCCTGCAGTGTGAACATAGCCTATGATACAGTATTAAAAATGTAATTGCCTCATTACATCAACCGAAATACGTCAAGAGGCAAAGGTAGAAGTGAAACATAAATATCAGCTAATGTATATCATGGCCTATGAAGATCTATAGTTAAACCGTCAGTGTTAGGCTTTTGATGGGTCATTTTGACTTGTTTTTACATTAGCCGCACTGGCAATATATTTGAAACAAAAGCAACTCTCCATCTGACGTGTGTACGGCAACACTATTTACCGGACAGTCAATACAGGAGTCTGTTTTGTGATGTATTTCCTGTGTCTTGTGTTGTCCTTTTGGAACCCTGAGGGAATGCACATACTTTCTGTATTTATTCCTGTCTTCATAGATAACATGACAGTGGTCTTCACTCATCGGCACCTGGGAATAAAAGGCTGTCATGTGACTTGGGTGACGACAATAAGTTTGCGTGAAAGGTTGACAGATGATTCTTCTGCGTTATCTATTCTGTACCTGGATTAGGACATATGTAAATGAAACACACAGAACTGTACACACAGCACAAGCAAATTAGAGGACTGATATACTGCGTTCTACAGGCAGTACTGTGTTGACATGACAAATGTATCTATGGTTTGCAGTTGAAATGGGTCATCGTTATTTAGCAGAATCCACCACTTGCTGATGGAGTGCGGGCGTGTGCTTTATAATGACTATTCCTGTCAAGAGAACTATAACCAGATGAAGAAGTCGTCTCCATATGCCAAAGATAAGTTGGTACATGAGGCGTCTGCTGAGAAGTTGGCTGTAACAGTGAGAGTAAATGTGCATGTGGTTTTCTGCACTACAAGTGTTTTCTATACAATTACTGTACTGTGAAAAGCTAGATTGAGTCTATACAGTGAAAGCAAAAAGCTCAACACTTGTTCTACTCAAGTCTGACTAGTTGTGCTATTCTTGTCTTTATGAAACAGAGCAACGAAGCAGAGGCCACTATCACCAGCCCAAAGGTGGCCGCAAAACCAAAAACCATCACTTTCAGCATCAATGTAAGTGACCACAGATTTTTAGACAAAGCTCACCCTTCACGTTTTAGAGCAGCGATTCTCAGCTTTCTCTTGTGGTATGCCAAAGTATCACTGGCAAAGTCCAGTTCAGTTCCATTTAACTTGGAATGCACATTTTTTGGGGGGGGGGTCTGTTTTTGAGCTTACGAATATACAATTTGTATTGAACTATGCAGTCTGATTTTATTTGAATCATTGAAGTTTTTCTCAATTTTTTAAAGTTTTCTTAAATATAGTTTTCAAAATACAAACTGCATAACGTTATAGTGGCTTCTGATAGTATTGCATTAAATATGTTTTGAAAGCATGTTATCACATCTTCTTTCCCCAGAATTGTGTGGCAAAACCAAGCACAGTGCTGCAGATTGGTGCAAAGGTAACAGCCAGAGTGGACAGCTATGAAAGCAGGAAGCCCTATGGCCACTGGGTCCCAGTCATGTCGAGTCAGTCTGCCAGGCCGCGTAAACAAGTGCGCAACAAGTCACGATAGGATGGACCACAACCAAGAGGACGCTGCACATATACTGTAATTAATTTGTACATATTTTCAGTCATTTCATAGTGGCATTTTCTTTCAGATGATTTAAATTGGAAGACATGAAGAAATCATTCAGGTGGGATTATTTCTTTTCCCTACTCCTGTATTTTTGCTGTTCAAATAAAATATTTATTGATGGAAACATAAACTTTGTGTCCATTCTTTCAACAGTAGACTGTTATTTTGCATGAAACATATAGGGCTCCAACAGCCTAAAGTGAACATACGAACGGTACAGGGTTTGATTCTGGCTCCGGTCTACCTGTGTGGAGTTTGCGTGCTCTCCCTGTGCCTGTGTGGGTTTTTTTCTGGGTACTCCAGTTTCCTCTCACATTCCAAAAATATGCATGGCAGGTTAATGGAACACCCTAAATTGTCCCGAGATGTGATTGTGAGCATGAATGGTTGTTCGTCTGTGTGCTCTGCGATTGGCTGGCAACCAATTCAGGGTGAACCTTGCCTACTGCCTGATGACAGCCGGGATAGTCTCCAGCATGCCCGCGACCCTTAAGTGAGGATGAACGAATTAGAAAATGGATGAAGGGATGAATTTCCAAACATCTTTATTGGAGAGAAGTAAACCAACGAGAATGTGTATATGTCATTGGAAGACACCATGGAGGATGCCACTGTTGTCCAAATTAAAAAAAAAACTGTCGGATGAGGCATCATGGTTTGGAGACTGCTTTGCTAACTGTGATAGGAAGTAAGATAGGAGAACTTAAGACCATCTGTCTGCCAGATGGTTTGGTCTTACCGTTTTTGTGCATTTTTTAAAATGTCTTGATTATTCATGTATTATTTTAACCGTCTTTGTTGTCGTATGATTTCTTTTTGCTCTATGTACAACACTTTCTAAGCAGCGGTGGTGGGTTTTAAGTGCTTTGGAAATAGTTAAGTTGACTTGAATTGCAGTTTTTAACATGTCCACAAAATGTCGCTGTTTTATCATATTTACGAGTTAGGGCAGGTACAATTGCATGTTTGCGTGCCATTTTACACTCTTGGCATTTTCCATCGTGTCTGATTTTTTCCACCTTGTGACCCATCTCTTACTATTTGATAAGCTAACTGTTCAATCTGAGTTGACATTGCTATTTTTTTAGGTCTTTCTTTTTGCACTACATGGCACGTAGAGCAAACCAATGCAACCAGGTCTCTCCATCTGGGTCTATTGTAGGCAAAATGTTGAGCTTGTGCCAGGGTCACATTGCAGACCCCAAGGTCCAGGGCTATTACGTCCAGCCAGCGAGTGCGGGGGGCACCTCTGGGTCGTCTCCAGCCAGCATGCTGGGGTTTGAAGGCCAAGATGGTGCTGGTTGGGTGTTCCTGGGGCAGACGGATGACATGGCCATCGCGGCGAGTGCGATTTTTTAGGTAGATTAAAAACAAAAAGATTACTCTTCTATGCTAATACTGCAACATGTCACGTCTTTCCTCCCACATTCCAAAAACACGCATGGCAGGTTAAAGGAACATTCTAAATTCTCCTTTAGTGTGAATGTGGAATGAATGGTTGTTCTTCAATGTTTGCCCTGCAATTGGCTGACAACCGGTTCAGGGTGTACCCCGCTTGGTGCCCGAAGTCAGCTGCGAGAGGCTCTGGCATGCCCGCGACCCTCGTGAGGCTAAAGAGGTTCAGATAATGGATGAATGGATGATCTCAATAACATTTCGGAAGAAAATAAACTCCAGGTAACTTAATACGCCCCTGTAGAGGGCACTGTGCTATCAACATCAGACAGATTTAGATGAAGAGGGGGAAGTGTATAGGGAGGGGAGGGGCTGTGCATGGGAATGGCTTGCCATTAATCTCCTGGCCAGTCACAAGGCTGTAGCTGCTTCAGGCAAGCTGGTCAGACAGAGATGGGATAGATGATAATCAATTGAATTACGCTCTTGTTGCTCCTTACCACAGTGCACCTACTTCAAACACATTTGTCAGCGAGCATTCGCCAACAAACAAGCCTCGAGGTTTAATGTGTCTTGATGGTGGATATTTCTCACGCTCAAAATGTCACTGTCATGAGACCACACACACACACACACACACACACACACACACACACACACACACACACACACACACACACACACACACACACACACACAACCAACTCATGTTCTCTACTGAAGAATCGCTGAAAATGGTATACTTTAAAAATAAGGGTGAGAATACTCATGTTATTCTTAAACTGTACAAACATGAAATTTAATGGATACATCATAGCTACAAGATACACGTATATAAGACTAGCAATATACTGCTCAATTGCAAGAATTGCTGACTCAAAGGGAACTCAAACAGCAGTGCCTCTCTCCAGGTTCTGCTTAATCTCTGCTGTGTATTTGCCATAGAACCGTTCAGCCTTCTTGTTGAACTTGGCGTTCCTCTCGTTAATATAATCGATGTCCGCGTCGTCGTTGTAGGCCCTTCTTCGGCTATATTTGGCACGCTTTTCGATCCTGCACAACAGAAAAGACAGCAGCTTAGTGGTTGATTCCACAAACCACTGATAAAACTCCGGTTTTGTCAGAGGAGTTACAATGCTAAACTATAATCTGATCAATCTGCAAGGATCTGAAAAGGGGAGCAGCAGTGTTTTGCACTTGGGTATGTGGCTAACCAAAGTAAACGGCGGCTGACGGGATGACTGAAATAGCCGAAAGGTTTCATCCACAGGCAAGTGTGTTGGCATTTACTGTGTTAGATAACTGCTGGTCAGACCTGTTGGAGCCTTATGGACACAAATGTGAACATGTATACCAAATAAAGACATATTACATTTAAAAAAAAAAAAAAAAACTATTGAAAAAAAAACCCAACTATATATGACTAAGTGACTAATCCGAGTATTATATTTTTGACTTTTTGATCAAACTATTAATCTCATTGCACCGTCTTGTGCCCCCCCAAAGGTTTATTTTAATCCGAATTTTTTAAAAAACTAGATTTTTAAAAATTCAAATGAACTGCCTTTTTTAAATGTAATTTCCATTTAAATAATTATTTTGATTTACTGGTAATTTAAAATGGACTTCTTACCAAGTTGTTCATTTACAATTGCTGGAATGGGTTTTGAAGGTTGTTATAATGTTTTGGATCGGTACTATTACATGGACCAGAGGGATGGTGTTTGCGCTCGACAAACCTAAAGCCAACTACAAAATCAGAAAGTCATTTGGGGTTAATCTGAGGCAATTTAACATGAGTTTCAACGACATTGTTTAATTCTGAACACAGCTACATCCAATTCATAGGAGGGTGTGCACAATTGTGCAAACACATCACATGATCAAACTGACGTCACAAAAAAAAGAAGACAAAATGTCCCAGAAATGCACCAATCATCATTTAATGAGGTGAAAGCATTGCTAAATGGCACCTTCTTTGGAAAATATTTCTTGCCACCACCTAGGAAAAACACTTTTCTACACGATGCAGGAAGACATGTTTGTTTTTACTTATGGTCTTTTCATTGTTCCTTGCCCTGACCCATTTTGGGATATAAGCATATAAAACGGGTCAGGGCAAGCATATATGCAGTTGCATATATGCTTATATCTATATTTTATATTGCATTCTGTACTGTACACAGTTCATTTTTCTGAAACATTTATTTTGTGCATGCAATACTTTGTTTTTCTTTACTCCCCCCCCCCCCCCCACTATTTTTTTCCTGTTGAGTAGATTGCAAATTTTTCCATTGTGGGACAAATAAAGGTTTTCTTATCTTATCTTTTCTTATCTTATCCACTGGGTGTCATGAATCTTGGTGAGCAGTGAAAATTATGACAGCCGAAACTTTAAGCAAGGGAAGAGACTTTCTCTTGACACAAAAATAAATCTGAACACAAGAAAGCCGTCCATCTGTTTTCTTATCCGCTTCTCTTCACAAGGGTCGAGGGTGTTCTAGAGCTAATTGCGGTTGTCTTTGAGCAGTACACCCTGAACTGGTTGCCAGCCAATCACAGGGCACACAGAGACAACCAACTGCGCTCACATCACACCTTGGGCCAATTTCGAGTGTTCCATTAACCTGCCATGCATGTTTTTTGGAATGTGGGAGGGAACCGCAGTACCCGGGGAAAACCCACGCAGGCACGGGAGAATATGCAAACTCCACACAAGAAGGCCGGAGCCGGAATCGAACCCCTAAATAAACACAGGCGTGTGGTAATGAAAAGTTAAAAAGTGGTTCATCTCGATGTTATTCTATATTCAAACATGACTGCCTGGCAGTGTCTGGTCCAGGTCACCCTGATGATTTTTTTTTTTTATCATTAATTATGAAAGTATTTATTTCACTTGAAAACACAAAGTATTTGAACAGCATTGCTCTAGTTTGGGGGTATCAAATAGAATGAATCATCTCATTGGGATTGAGTGAAATGATTTTGGGGGGTTGGAATTTAAATTGCAGCGAGCCGTTCCTATAAATAACTATTCAGTCGAAAGGTAGATATGTGTAGTCAACAGCCAGCATCAAAGTAATGTTGGTAGGAAGTCATCTCTTTTGTCATCTTTTGACTGGAACTTACTGTTTTTCGACATCTTCCACCATGCGGTCAATGCCCTCTTGGGAAGGGACATGAGTGCCGTGGATCAAGCTATTGGACGTGGGGTGGAAGTCCTCACCACTGCGGGTTAAGTGCAAAAGAAATTAGAAATACTGAGCCATAGCTAATCAGCATTTCGGCACATCTGAATGGGCTTCTCTATACCACCATTGTGATCTTGGTCATTCCGCTGAAAGACGATAGTGTGACTCGGGGCTAAATGTGTCGGTGCATCCTTCACGGTTGTGCATGCGGCAACATTTAAAGGCAAGAAAAGCCCGCAGGCACTTCCTTGACCTTCGTGTGCGTGCCAGAGATTCAGAGTTGAAAATTCTTTAAATTACAGCTTTTAGTTTGGATGAAACTATCCCCAGGGCAAACCTGGGGTACAGTCATTGATATATAAGTTGTACTTTGTGCACATGTGATGGGATGAATGCTAAACAGATTAAGCCAAGCAAAATCCTTGGCATTGATTATGTTTGACGCGATATGCTTATAATTGCAGAGATGTGCTCGTATATCATTCTCATGTGCCTCTTCATCAGAGAAACAAAAATCAAGATGTCATTTTCCCTCAAATTTTCA